AAAACCCTCATGGGATCATCACAGTATGAAAAGTAGCATACACCTACATTGCCAGCACTTGATCATGCCTCTTATCACCTATATAGAGAGAGGAACTCAAGAAAACCTCGGTCCTCTCCTCAATGATTGTCAAGTGTGGATCATACCTATGCCAAAAAGTGCTCGCAAAGCCTATTTTAACTTAGATTAGTTCTAGCATGATCCAGGCTATCCCTTTGACTCCACCAGTGGACAAACAACATGCTAATTCTCAACAAACCACATCCACACCACAATTTAAACAAATACAACATATCAAAATTCCTCCTAAATAGTCACTCCTTCTGAACCATCTCAAACTTTTGCTCCCACAAATTTTGAGATTTCACCTTTTACAACCTTACTATATGGTCTGTGTGATAACCCAAAGCCCTAGGTGTCACACCTCATCATCATTAGTCGCATACTACACCCTGACTCTAACAATGATGCCATCAACTAGGGAACACAAAACGAGCTTTATTAAACAACTCGCAGGAGGAGAGAAAAAAATAGAGGATCCAAGCAAGCAGAAGGAAATGGAAGGAGGAGATAACAAAATGATAATATAATTCATAGACCAAAAAAAATCTCTCTGGGCGATGGACTTGATCCCTTTTAGAAGTCAAAGCTCCCTTTATAGCTCAAATGATTAAGAGCGTCCTTTCCAAATTGATAGGTATGGTTGTCGTTGAATTCATATTAAATAGTGATATTTCTCATTGATTGCAAAATGGACGCAGTTTATTTAATCTAATCACTATAAAAAACGTTAGTGTCATGTTTCTTGATATTGTGTTTTTATTTTTTTCTTATTTTTTTCTTTGCAGCATCTCATTGTTTGGACTCACTGATAATCAGGATACAAAAGATCGAGTGGAAGAGAAATCACTAAATTGAATGAGCCTCTAGCTATGAGCAAATGAGAGCTTTCAAATTCCACAAGTGGCTACTTTCGTCTTGATAAAATAAATGGAAAATCTACAAAGATTGGAGAATAATGTAGAGATGATTCACAATGGTCAACATAATCTATTGAAACAATCATAGAGGAGAATGATGTGTTAAAAATCATTGAGAAAGAACATGATTTATCCTTCTTAAAGATTAGGCATGTCAACATAGAAGTCATTTTTCTAAGAAAGGACAAACCTATATTAAAGTCAAATAAATAAAATCCAACATAAGGCAGTCCCAAAAAATTTAAATATGATATAAAACATCCATATTTCCTCAGAGATTTAGGATTTTTTGGGTGTTTGCAGCTTTTTAAAAAGTCGGTTGTAAAGTTGTGCCGGAAAAAGAAAATCCTAGAAAGTCGTGATGAAAATTATAAATATATATATATATATTAGGCAGCAGCTTTTTTACAGCCACCGAAATTTAACATGTAGGGTAGAAGAAAACAGATTCTCACCACAGAAATTTCTAGAAAGCAATAACAAAAGTTCTCTAAACAGAGTTGTGGTGGTGGTCTGAAAGGCAAAGTAGACAAAACGTTGTTCAAAACAAATTCTTATTGAACATTAGATATCAAGTGGAAGTTGATTATTTTATATACCATTTTATGAAAAAAAAAAAGTGTTAGGATTCACATTAGAACGCCAAAAGAATATCGTTTTGACTCTAGTAACCCTCCTCCATCTTAAAATGTTCATAAAATCTCTTTTTAACTGAAAAAATACCAAAATTCAAATAAAATGAATGCTCGACTCTAATGAAATATTCAAGAAATACAATTCATTGATGATTGTTGCTTCTTTAAAAAGATTGTCATAGTTTTGTTTACCATAACTCGAGCTTTTTTAGGAGTTTAATATCAAAATTACATGGTCACAATCATTCTCAAAACATGAAAGAAATTCAACTAATCATCAGCCATGTGAATGAATGACTCTAACTTTGAGAATCTTATAGTTACTAAAACATAAAAAATATGATTATTGGGAAATGGAATGAAACCACCATCCAAAATAATGAGGCAACGAATACTTTGAGAAATTACATTTCCTGTTAATCAAGCTTGACATGAGGTTATTTTTTATTTAAGGTAGGGCAAAATACAATTATATTTTCAATAAAGATATCAGTAAGAATAAAGACACATACAAGTGAAGGAAGACCTTGAGAATGCCTATTACTAGTAAAATAGTATTATGAGATTTATCATAAAGGAATAAATCATAATCAATTTCAGAGCAAGGAAAACCAATGATTTGCCAGAAACAACTCATGTCATAAAACTCCACCAGAATAACAATAGAGAAAAGACCAATGATGAAAATTTTCATATGATCAGTTGTTGGATTCCAATCTTAAAGAATGGCACCAAATGAAGCCTTGACACTAAGCCCTTCCCAAGCTTTAATATAACCAATTTGGCAAGAAAAAAGAAGAGAGAAAAATTATACATAAAAATAATCGATCTTAAGTTTTAGAGAGACAACGCACTCTTTAACCATAACATTTCAAGGTTCAATATCAATAAAAAGAAAAAAAACTTGCTTGAAAATTTTGTTGAGAAACGATCTCAGAAGTATAATTGTAGAATCATTGATTATCCCAAGAGGGCGCAGGGAAATAATCCAACAATCATAAACTAAGGCCAGAATTTCATAATATGAAAGTGCATCATTAAAAAGAGGGTGGATGCATTATTAAAAAGAGGGTGGAGTGTTTCTTTTGGCTTCAAAAATGAAAACCATTTCATCAAATCCAGTTGAACGAAAAAAAAACTAGATGCCAAGAGCAAAGCTAGGCTCCAATGCGCTTTCCGTAATTAGAAGAATCATGTTAGCCTAAATCATCTCAAAGAGATTCAGAACACCCTTCTTCATAACAAATAATGGAAAGACAAAACCCTTGATCAAATCTTCTAGGTCCACATTATAAATCATGTAAGTTAGTGTGAAGAAGAGGCACGATAACAAAAATCCTCACAATGGTAGCAATGGTAGCATAGGAGAATTGCACAAAAAACATGACAAACAAAAAAAGTATCCATTGTAAAGTTATCACCATAATAGGTTTTTTCATTTATGGCGTAGGAAGTCAAAATAGTAGAATAAACCAAAATTGAAAGACAAATAGCACCGATACTCAAAATGAGAATAAAATAAATGAGATGATGGTATCTCCAAGAAAAAGAAGCAATGTTCTGAAAGGTGTAGAAATAGTTTCAATAGACGGAGCTTCAATAAAGTGAATTTTCTAGTAGCACAGAATTAGAGAACATTGTAAGAAGAGCGAGAGTTTGAATTTTAAATTGTGGCATTACAAAGATAACCTCGATTAACCAATTAACTGACGAAGGAAGAGAAGTAGATAATGTCCTCACTCAATAGATTTAGGGTTACCAACAATCTAAATCTCTGACCAAAAATTCAAATTCATTTGGATCCATACATAATGCAAGGAGATGTTCATAAATCCTTCGGCACAAACAAAAACTTATGCCATAATAAAATTAGATTTGACATCAGTGTGATTGTAGAAATGAATAGGGGAATGAAAATCAATTATAAGACGTAAAATGATGGGTGTCTTCCAAGGGTTGAAGGGAATACCAATCAACTTATCCTTTAAGAGTGGCACCAATTTTTTAAGGCCTTAGTTTAACTATGCAAAAGAAATCACCTGACTGCAAGGCCCCCTTACAACAATATAAGTTGAGCGTCTCCTTGATTTGATAATGCACAAATGATGCAAAGCATCACAATCATCATTATCACTACACCATCATTGTCACTATGAGCCTAAAACCTTCATAGAATTTAATTTATGATGAGTCGTGTGTTTACGAACCCTGTGCTATGGTTCATGAATTATTCATATATTTCAAACTACATAATTGAATTTATAAACATGTTCTCTAAGTTCTAGTGTAATTTCAAAGTTATATGGTTAATTGAGTCATACAAGATGCCATGTATGTGCCTTAGCCTAACTCATTCCATTGACCCCTTTTGACAACATTGACTAACATCCTATCATTGCTCACCACATCACTTTGGCTCACGTCATTATATCTCATCCAAGACAAATTCAATCCTGCTTTCTTTTATTTGTCCAAATCTAAATCTCGAACAGTTTGGAAGCTTTAGAACAATCCTCTCTTCATGATCTTTACTTCAAAAAATTTGGAAACCTTTGAAATTCACCAAAACTCTTGATCCAACACCTTTTTCCCTTTTCACATGCACAAGTCTATATGCATTAATCTTGGCTTCATGTAATAAGAAATTATTTAGAAGGAAATGTTGAGTCACATTGCAAATGTGTTCTCTTCCATCAAGTAAAGAATTCCTCTGAGTATGAGCGACAAGACCCTTTGAGAAGTACTTCCGAGAAAGAGAGAGGAGCTTCACATTGAAAAACAATTTGTAGAGATCATCTTGAAGTTAACCAGCCTTCTCACTAAAATTATTAACTTCTTGACAGATCCTTTTTGGAATATTCATTGTTTCCTTAATGTCATCAGGCTAGAAATCCTACATCAGGTAACATAATTTCTTGCAAGCACCACCATTTTGTTTGTTAGTTCTTCAAACTCATACTAGTGATCAAATAAGCTAAACACTTTCCGAAGTTTGTGCAAGTATCTAAAGGTTTTGCATTACGTTTCATCTTTGCATCTTAGTTTTGCATTCAACCCGCATCAACAAAGAAGGACAATGTACATCAATGCAACATCTCGAGTTAAAGTTTGATCCCAATGCTATTTAATAGTTGTTGAAAGCTCGTCACTAAAAACATCAATATCTAAAATGTAAAGGAAGCCATACCAATGAGATGCAATTTTTTAATGAGAACAGCATCGTTAGATGATAAAGAAGTTATTTAATTGGATGTATTAA